AGATGATCAATATATGTGTTGGGAATATTGTGGAATGGTAAGAAAAGATGAAATGAGAAAACGACAAAGATTGGAAGGGGGTAAATAGTTTTGACTGTAGCCCAAGATGATAACAGCGAGAAGCACAGAAATGTGGTAGTGTCGGCCAGGTACAAACGAAGTGGATGATCTACCACTTTTTCCCAATCATGCTATATGCTACCACATAGGAAGAAAAATGGTACAGCTATTCAGAGGATAGAAAATTGAGAGCATTTCTTAGAATACATAAAAAACCAGATGAAAAGTTGTCCAACCAATTCTAAACGCTAATTTTATTTCAAATAAAACCAAATTGGGGCCCACATGAACCATCAATGCCTGGTAGGTGGGGTTCCCTAGGGTGGAACTTTTGCTCTGTGTTCAACTCTTGCCCCGCCTTGGCAGGAGAAACGCTCCTGTATCAAAGGATCTACTTGTTGTAAGCTTTTTGGTCACAGTATTATGTAACTTCATTCTCCTCACAAAAAAGGGATCTATATGATGTAGTGCTTTATTAGCAGCCAATTTTATTTCTCGTGGCAAATGTGTATCTCTGACTTTTATAGTCCTTGACAGAATATATATTAGATTTTAAGCGCAATTATGGAGGTTAAATGACTTGGCTTGCAAGATTTAATTCTTCCATGACGTGACATTTATGTCTAGGCTCCTATTCACATAGTGGGAGCATTCGGCTATTTGGAATATCCATCTTACATCTCGTAAAATGTTTACCTCATAATCATGCAATTATTAAGACCGTCATCTTCCTTGGAGCTAGAATATAACACTTTTCTTTTTTTTTTGGGAAAAAAGAAGAGGATCAAATCAATTAAACATAAACGGCATTAGTTTGTTCATTGCTTATTAATGGAGACGGAGACAAAGGGGGGCCAGGAGAAAAGAAAAGTGAATTGGTCATTACTAGAACAATTAAAACATTATTAATTAGTGTAAGGTTGAATAGCTTGGCTTCATTGGGATGCAGAAGGGTTTGGATGAAATGGGATTTAATTGTATTTTGGCAGCAAACAATAGAGGTATTTGAGCTCTTGGAGAAGCTTAGTGAGCTGGAGAAATTGAAGGAGAGAGGAGAAGGAATAGGAATAGGGTTGAGGTTAAAGCTCAAGGAGGAGACAGCTGTTCCATTACCTCTTGCAAGAAGGAAATTTAGTGCATTTGAGACCAACTTCAACCCCATATTGGTGATATTCCTATAAGCTCCTCCGCCTTTCTATCTCCCTCAAATCCGTCGAGTTTCTTTGTATATAGTATTAATCTAAGCTGATGTTAGGATAGAAGTCATTTCTTATTCCTACTGTTTAGTTTTTCGAGTAATTCTAATCTTTCCCTTTAAGCTAGGTATTTTATATCATGGTTTTGATATCATGATTCAAAACACTTTGGTATAACTAGATTATTTCTCCATTATCTTGATGTAATTGTGGTTGGATTACATCATGGATCGGCTTTAAGCTTTAAGCTCTCATATCTTTTTGCCTTAGTTATGAACATTTTTACTAGACAATTATAAGAGGATGTACTTTGATGTATGCTTTTCGTTAATGATATCCTTCTTTTTGATAAGACTATGGAGAGAATTTAGGAAAAACTTGAATTATGGAGATCAACCTTAGAGTCTAAAGGTTTTCGTTTGAGCAGATCTAAAACTGAATATATGGAATGTAATTTTAGTAATATCAAATATGGTAGCGGCGTTGTAATAATTTATGATCAAGTCATTAAAAGGAGTGAACGTTTTAGATATCTCAAGTCTGTTTTTCAAAGTGGAGTTGATATAGATATGAATGTTATTAGTAGAATTCAAGTTAGATGGTTGAAGTGGCGGAATGCAACAGGCCAATTGTGTGGTAAAAAAGTACCATTTATACTTAAAAGAAATTTTTATTTGATGATGGTGTAGAAATTTGTCCTGTAAAAAAGAAGCATAAAATTAAGTGAAGTGTTGCAGAGATGAGCTGCTCGGGTGGATGAGTGGCTTTACACTTAGAGACAAAATGTGAAACTAATATATCTATGGAAGGGTCGGAGTAACTCCAATGGTATACAAGATTAGAGAGAGTTGTCTTAAATGGTTTGTTCATATTAGACGTCGATCATCAGAGTGTAGATGTTTTTATTTGACTTATGTTAAGAAATGTAGAGGTATACCTAACAAGATTTGGGCATGTTGTATAAAAAATGATTTTAATTTATTAGAATTAAATAAAAATATGGCACTCAATAGGACACAATGGAGAGAAAAGAATCGTGTAGCCGACCCCACTTAGTGGGATAAAGGCTTATTATTGTCGTCGTTGTTGTTGTTGTTATTGTCTCTTGATGTAATTCATGGTATCTATGCCTATGGAGGTATTGATTTAGGAATTTTATTCCTATGTTCTAAGATTTTTTGTACTGTAAGTCTTCATGAGTTTGAGGTAATTAAGTTATGAACATGGTAATGATCATGTGATCATTACATGCTTTATATCCTTAGCCTACCTTTAGTGAGATTGGTTAAGTCCTACATTTGAGATTTTCTTTTGTCATTGAATGGGACGTGTTCATGTGTTTATGTTAATAAGTGACTTATATGTTCATGTCATTAAATAACTCATATGTTTAACAGTGAAATATAAGTATATGTTTGCTCACGTGTTATTTTATGACATGTATCATGTCATCTAACTATATTGTATCATGTTGTTTAAGTGTTTCTTTGCGTATGTAATGTTTCATGTTATTTGTCCTCTTAAATTAATCATCACATGCTAACTGTTTTCTATAAATTGAACTATGCAGATTGATTGTATGTGCATGCTGATTAATAAAGTTTACATCATTATGGTACAGTTTCAGATGTTAAGATACTCATACACATAAATTGGAAAATGATATCTATATAGGAGTACCTAAAAATTGATAGTGTATATTGATGAAAAAATAATGTAAAATTTACATGTGTACCACTCAATTTATTTGTATTTACATATATCTAACATTTAAACATCAATTTTTTCATGCTTGCCACCTTCCCTTTGCATGGAATGGTGTATTTCACTTTTTATATATTAAAATAATGGTATTCTTTTAGGTAATATGATAGGTTTTTGTGGTATAAATATAAAAAATTAAAGTTTAGGTGTTAGATATGTAAACGCATTAGAATTGGGTGGTAAGGATGTAAATGTCCCAAAAATATATGCTGTAGTATGATAGAATAATTCAATTTTTTTTTAGTGATCATCTTTGAATAAATGAACAGTCAAATGATTTTATATTTATTTTTTGTATTTGTTAAGAATAAATATTATTTTTTTATTAAGTTGCCATAATTTAAAGGATATGAGTGTTCACTAAGTTGTTGAAAACTCATTAAGATTTAAACTAATATTTTCATATTTAAGTCCTGGGCTAAAAAATAAGTGAAAAAGATAAACATTTATAGAAGATGTCATCAAATTAGTGCAAGTTAGTTAAATATGAAAAATATTGTTAATGTAATTACACTATAGTCGCCCAAATATGTATGTGTTGCATGCCTTTCATGGCGTGTTAGGAAAATGCTTTATGCGTATCTTTCTTGGCATTGTGGCAGCCAAAGTCCGTTCTCGTCAAAATAAGAGCCTGCACATCTTTTTCTTGATGAGGCGAGAAAAACTGTTTATAAACTTTCATGCAAACACAATGGACCCATACATTGATGCATGTATTCGTGTGTCTGTGTTTGTGTGTAAGAGAGAGAGAGAGAGAGAGAGAGAGAGAGAGAGTGTGTGTGTTATGGACCATACATGTATGCACGCATGTGTGTACGCGCGCGCCTACACATAGGACAAGATGGGCGAGTATAGTGTTGGCTAGATGGTGAGATAAGATCGGATTTGGCAAAGATTTTGATTTAATTTTTCTTAATAATAATAATAATGATAATAATAATAATAATAATAATAATATTATTATTATTATTATAATTAAATTTATATTATTTTTTAATAAAAGCAAAAATAAATTATTTGTTTATATCGATATTTCCTCACTCATTTCCTTGTCACTTCTATGTCTCCATTTTTATTAACATTTTCTTTTTTGCAAGGATTTAAATGATATAGGTGTCATCCCTAGATAATTTCAATGTTTTCGGCAGATCGGCATAGTCTGTTTTGCAAGCAAATGATGCTTATGCAATGTTAATATTGGTGAGGCATTTTGAATCCAATTCGCACTATTTCCGTCTCTATAGTCTGTATTTTCATCATGCTTGGTTACCATTGATAGGAAGTAGTTATTGGAGATCAAAATAATTTTACCTTTCTTTCATATTATTATTATTATTATTATTTTTTTTTTTTTCTTGCTTCAATTCACATGTTATAGATTGTTGTCCGGAAAGGATGCTGGCTGGACAGAAGTAGGTAGGTACCCAACCAAGTCCTTATAATGAAATGCTAGAATGGAAAGCTTTCATTTGTTTTTTATGGTGGATTTCCTAAAATTATGGCTTTCAGTTTTGTCAGTTTTGTTTTTTAGTCTTTTTAGTGCCATTTCTTGCGGACATTGCCAGATTAAATAATTTTACCTTTCTTTCATATTATTATTATTATTATTATTTTTTTTTTTTTCTTGCTTCAATTCACATGTTATAGATTGTTGTCCGGAAAGGATGCTGGCTGGACAGAAGTAGGTAGGTACCCAACCAAGTCCTTATAATGAAATGCTAGAATGGAAAGCTTTCATTTGTTTTTTATGGTGGATTTCCTAAAATTATGGCTTTCAGTTTTGTTTTTTAGTCTTTGTAGTGCCATTTCTTGCGGACATTGCCAGATTAGATCTTTTTGTTCTTTATTTTTCTTCTTGGCATCTGATTAATATGTATTCAAGCAGTATACAAATCCGAAAGCATGGTACACTATCCTTGCTATGTTCTTTTAAATTGGTTCGCTATGTAACAATTTTTTCTGTTTTCTTCTTGTATCCAGGTTCCCAAAAGATAATTCATGAACTCCTGACCTGGGGAACTAAATCTGAACTTAAAGCTGAAGTGCTGCAAAGTTTGAAGGAGGTGGGAAGCGCACTCTATTGGACGAGCCTTCTTGATATTGTACTGGTAATAAACATCAAATTATTCATTTGGACTTTTTTTATTGGCGTTCGGTTTTCTCTATAATAGGTATAGAATTTTGTCAAACCTTGGTAGATTTATGTTAGATAATTAATAGAAATTTTCAGGAGGTATAATTACTGCAAAAAATTAATAAATAATCCTGGAACACTCAACGATATTGGAGAATAATACTGAACTCAAGTATATAATAAAATAAGTTTTTAGATGTTCACCATCTACTCATTAATGATGCAAAAGAAAAGGAGATTCCAAACTCCATAAAAAATCAAATTATTGAACAGCCATAGCAATTAATAAATCTTTTAGTAGATCTTTCAAGGGATTTATTGCATCGCTAAAGGTTGAATTCATACAAAAGATTGAGCATGATCACATTGTATCATAATTCTCTCACCACAATCTTAAAAAGATCTAGTACAGGTAATATAAAGTATTAAATGCTACTTGTTCATTAAAGTATAAATAACATTAATAAATAATATTAATGTTACTTGTTCATCAAAGAAATACAAATTTTTTATATGTATTAGCATTTATTTATTTTTCAAAGTTTAGCCTTTTAGTTATAGTACTTCATATTTTTTACACTTATACATTCATCTCATGAGCACATTCTGAACATAACCTAACATGCCTTTGGCTGATACATATCTCGTTGGTATAATGGGGCGCAGAACAAGTCTCTACTATTGTCGGAGGTGAAAATGAACCTAATCACCCTTAGTCGATATATTTTTTTCGGTATAGCAGTTCGTAATCTAAATTACATGTATGTCTGAGATGGTATTAAAATATTTATGTGCAGGTAAATTTTCATCCTAAGTCAGTACCGTTGGGGGGAAAATATCATCATGCACATGCAAGCCATACATACGAAGTATTTTTATTTTCATTTGTCCAAACATATATTCTCTCTATGTGATAGTATGCTTATCTGCTAATCAATATATCACGACTGGGCCTCGGGGCTTGGAATTAATCAAAACGGGAACAGGCGATCGGTCAATGAAAAATACTTTTTCTGGTTTTTAATTTCTATCAATAACAGTTAAATAATCAAATATTCATGAAAGAGCCGCTAAAAAAAGTAAGTTTAATTTACAATTAGAAATTTGTACATTTTTTATTGTTGTTCTCGCTTCCGTACACAATTGTTCCTCTTCTATTAATTTTAATCAGAAGCTTAAAACTTGAAAAATGTTAAAACAACATAATTAGTTATTTAAAAATAACCCAAGAGTAATCATACTTCTAAGCTACAGTAGTCCAAAGAAAATAAATCAATATGCATGCTAGTTTTTATATCTCTATAAGAAATCTTTTACTATGTTAATCTTGCAAATGAAATTTTTTAATATACTAATGCATACATTAATGACTTTTTTTAAACGAAAATACTCTAATTTTTTATATGCATTAACTTTAACTTTACTTTTATTTTATACTTTTTACATACACATATATGTCTTTTTTGAGGAACACAATCAAACAATAACACACCCTTGGCTGATAGCTCCGTCGGCACAGCGATTAGTGAACTATCAAAATTTTCTGGGGTGGTAGAAAAATCTTTACTTACACGGGTACACTGGTGTTCTCTGCTTGTGCCACCATTAGGGGGTGAACTCCTCTGAACATGCACATACAAGCTTAAATGTATATCATATTTTATTTCATCATTCAAAGCATACAATACTTTCATGTGAGACTTGTATTTATTTACTAAAAATCATGCAACTCTAATAAAATCCAAGGTCATATGATAATCTAAATCATAATCTAAAGGTCAAATAAGGGTCAAGTCATAATCTGACATATACATCTAGTTGGACAATGAGCTAACATATACATCTTTATTAGAATATAAACATCGTTTAGTAATCTAATATCTTCATAAATTAACACATTATGCAACTATTATGACAACAACATTAACATGCATGTATCAGAACTAACCATATGAAGAATTCTTTGTGATTTAATTTCATTGTGCAATTATTTAACATGCATCTTTTTCCTAACGATATGAAAATTCTATTATAATCTACATATCACTGGAATAGATCATAGATGACGTCAAATATACATAAAAATGATAAACATTACTCAAATTCATGAATATAATTACTCATATTGATTCTAAATGATTTTCTTGTCCTTCACTTCCGGTGGCTCCTCAAATTAGCACCTATTATATAAAATATTACATTTAATAAATTCATCATTTATTACTGAGATATAGTTCAATTCCCTCATTTAAATTGTGAGTTTACTCCTTAAATTTATATTAATATTAAATAACAATAATTTAAACAAACTACTTTTGAATGTTAAACTCTAAGGTTTACTACTTCAAAGCTCCTGGATCAACAATATGAAATATGTTCCCCCTTGATTTTCTAATTGTAACTAACATGAATCAAATTTAATACTTAATTATTATATTTATATAAATAAATCGTAAAACATTAATTAAATAAATTATTTAACATTTACCTTCAAGTTCTCGAATGGATTTTCTCCCTCACTTGCATGCTTCATCAGTTTGTCCTTCCAAGCTGAAATCACTATTTGTATTGTCCTCTCCAAATTCTCCTACCATACCTCAAAAGAACACGATCGACCTAGGGAGGAAGTTCTGCAAAAGAACACGATCGACCTATGGTAAGTAGAAATTCAATTTGACTAGACAATAGCGGGACCTCTTTATTTGTCGTCCTCCACCGACTTTGCATTTTCCTCTTCATTTTGCTAGATCTAATCCTTAAACAATTAGGATATTTAGAACGGTAGCTTCACCATTTGATGATTTTGATGCTTACATAATTGCATTTATAGTGGTGAAATTCAAATGTAAAACAGGTTTCAAATTCTCTTTGTTAAAAGAGGTATAAATAGAAATAAAATATTTAATTCACTCCAAGTCTCCTGAGGTTATCCTCTTTCATCAGATTATTTCTTTCCTTATTGTTGTATTTTAATTTTTTTTCAAACTATTTGTAGTTGCTTGATTTGTACTCCTTTGATTAACTAGTTACAAAATTTTGCAGACAAGGAGACTAAATTGACCTTTGAGGTATTTATCGAATGATGGATTGAACTACAATTATTTATTGAAACCTTGTTTAGCAAGTCTTGCATAGGTAGGATTGACACCAGATCACTGTTGCATAAGTTTTTATAAATTCAATCCTAATTATACGAGTAATGATAATCTCTTTCACCTTGCTTTATGCAAATGACTTTCCTTCTGTCTCTATGGTTCATATATTCATTCCATTATATATTGGAAGATTTACATGCATACCACCCAATTCCTATGTATTTACATATCTAACGCCTATACTTTAATATTTACATATATAAGACCTTCCCTATTCATGAAAGGTGTATTTCTCTTTTTAAAATTTAAAAAGTGATATTTTTTATGTGATGTGAATGATTTGGATGGTATAAATGTAAAAAAAAAGTTAAGTGTTATATATTGGGTGGTATGTATGTAAATGTCTCATGTATATTTTTGAGAAGACATTGTTGTGACATTTGTTGCAGAGGGAAACAGATACCATGCAATTCATTCAAACGGCACCATGGTTGGGGTTGACCATTGGAAGTGATGGACAACTAAGAGAGGTTGATAGTGGCGATAGTCCTCTTGTGAGTTTGTTCAAATCTGCTAAAGCAGCAATTGTATCAAACGAAACATGTCAAAATCCAAATTCCTTCCACGTCATGTCAAAGCAAGCGGAAGCTGCTGGTAAGCAAAGTCTTGGAAATTTTGTACATATCACTCGCCTAAGCTTTCATACTTACATATATTGTGCTTTGATGTTTTAAAACTATGCATGAAATGTACATTACACTTTTAAAAAGTGGTAATAGCGCTATTTTTAATGTGATATTAAAGATTTGAGTGCTATATACCTAAATGTGAAAGTTTAGGCATGCATGCATGCAAATACATGAGAATTTATGTGCTATGTATGTAAATGTGCCCATAAGTTTTGTTTTTATTTTTTTTCTTTACGGCCATTAATCAGGGCTTGCTATATGTTAATATTACAGTTAAACATCATTTACATTTTACAGAACTACTGAAACATCTATTACTTGAGATTTCTTGTAGATTATTTGACTGTCATAAATGTAGTTTAATTGTAATAGTAAAAGTTAATGATGTTTGTGCTTTATAAGTATTTTATTTGAACAAACTTATATGTTCATCGTATCTCCAAGTCATCCTGTTACACATTGTCATCGACAAATACTGCATTTTTGCAGTAGATTTATAGTCTTTTATTTTATTTAGTGCTTACTTTATGTGTATGTGTTGTTTCTTTTAGATGCAAAAGAAGCATCTCCCGTTCATAATCTTTTGATCTAGATTCAGGATGTGCCACATGGCACTTCATTTGAAATTTGGATTTTTGGTGATTGAATGTAAAGTTTATTATTACTATTATCATTATTATTATTATTATTATTCAAGGAGAATCACTAATTAAAAAAAATTGAAAAGATAAAAGGTAAACCTAATTGCAATAAAGTAAGGAAGTGCAAAAATACAACTTAAAATAGGTCATTATAGCCAAATATAGATCAATTGGTTTCTCAGTCTCTAATGGAAACTGTTTTTGCAGGCAGCACTGAAGATCTCTAAGTAAACAAGAGATAATATCAAATTAGAGCACCTTCTTATTTTTAGTTATTTTTGCAAAACATTTAACAATTTTCCTTCCAAATAATTTAAATAGAGGCAAAGAAAATAAATCATAGAGATCCATGAAATTGTTTTTGATATGATTGTCCGGCCAAGAAGAAAATAATGAGATAATGCTTCCCACTATTCTTTCTAATTTCAAACAACTTGTAAAACCTCATTTAAATTTTTGTAGTAGTTTATCAATTGAAGAAGATATGAGAATGATCCACTAAATAAGCATGTTTGAACATAGATCAAGACATGAAGTTTTCTTAACCAAATAATGATATGAGTACATCTAAGCCACTTAACAGAAAATGTCAAAGCAAAACAAAAAGTACTAACTATGTGAATAAAGAGGTACAAAAATCATTTTAATTTTCTAGCTTGATGCCTTGTAAAGATAGGAGTGTGATGATAAATTTTCTTTTGATATTTGGCCCTTCTGTCATAAAGAACATGAAATAGTTTATCCTCTAAAGAGCCGATACTCTAAAGTTGTAATCATAATTAGAATAATGTTGTAACAAATATTCATAATTTCTTTCATCAAAGGAAAAAGGTTGGGCTATTTCAAGAACTTGCATAGAATTGTCGGAGATAATTTCAGCAGTAGATGAAGTGATCAACACCAATGAGTTAGGAGAAGCAAAAAGATCAATCATTATCTCTTGAGGAGCTGAACCCAAATCGAAGTTTTGAGAACAAATTTGAATAATAGAGATTGGTCTTTCACCAAAGGGTCCTCGTGTATAATGTCTAATGAATTAAATAAAGGATTTCTAAGGTCAGGATTGTCGGTCAACCTTTTCGATGATGATTTGAAAATATGGATATGAAAATAATTTTTGAAATTTAATTTAATAAAATAGATATATAGTTCAGGTTTTGAAAGTGGCATGTTTTAATTTTCGAAAAATGTGACCAAATGGATCTCATTCGTCTAATAATTTGCATAATCGTGTCTGATACCGCGAATACTACACCCTCCTGAAAGATAAGTGTAGACCTCGGCGAAAGACCCAATCCAGCAAACTAAGAGATTTGAGACAACCGTTT